GTTTGCCATCAGCAAAATCATTGCGTTTAATCAAATCTTATGCCTTCATTTATTATAAAATACAAATTGTAATTTCTCATTTAAAATCTCTAATTCCATCAAGGTATTTTTAGAGAAATTTCAAGCAAGTTTAAGAAAACAAATAATTTGTAACAGAATTTCAGAAAAATACTTAATGATTATATCAAAAGGAGCCTTCTTTATAATTAAAGAAATATTACAATAAATCATCTACGATTGTTAAAATAATTTTTTTTCTATTTCGAAAGTGCAAAAATTTTTTGAAAAAAATTATTGTAAGTTTAAAGAAGAATCATAGACTAAATTCAACAAAATTAGCTTATTAAATGAGATCTAAATCCCCTGGATCATTGGAGGAATAGATCCTAAGGAAATAAATTTTGTCTACAAATCTTCAACTAATTGAGGACTTGAGACTAATTGATCTTTATGAATTTAGAAAAGTTCTTGATCCATATTTTCTTTTATTCATTTATAAATTAATGTAGCGGATTAGAAATACATAAATGAATGATATTTAAGAGTAGGAGAAGGATAAAGGGATCAATATAATCTCTCAATCCCTTTCTAAATTTAGTAAGGATAATCCTAAACATTAGCAGAATTTTTCTTAATCTGTCTTACTCTTAATGCTAATGGTATTTAGATCAACTCTTCAGAAATAGGAATCCAAATATTAACTCAGAGCAGCTATTTATTGATCTCTAGACTTAAACTACAAATAACAAGAATTTACATGAATAATTTAGGTAGCACTAGGTTCGACCTGAAAAAATTAGTATGATTAAACCTAAACAGTATTGTTTTAAATTGCCAACCCTCATATAAGACTATTTTTTCTTATCTTATATCCTTTTTGTATAAATAAGGTAGAATGATATTTGTTCCTAGAAATGGATTCCTTCCATTTTTAGTCATTATTATGCTATTCTGTTAATTAAATAGGAATCCATTCATCATATGGAATTAAAATTACATATTAAATAAAGAACATTGTCATTGCTTTGGAAGATTTATAAAAAGGATTTCTAAATACTACTGATAAATTAAGTATATTTATCCTTATTATTATCGAATAGCTTTTGTAATAACCCTGTATGCACTTCAAAAAATTGATTAGATAGAAATATCTAAAAAAAACGGCTAGAATTAAATTCTAAAATAAGGTATAAGTTAAACAAAAGTCATTAATTTAATAATAATTTTAGTAAATGCCTTAGAGATAAGTGTTAGTAAGGTTATTAATTAGGTAAGTTAAATGAATATTTAAACTTTGGTAAAGGGTCAGGTTCTGAAGTAAGATAAGCCCAAATATCCTCAGAACTAAATTTAATTCATTAATTAATGGATAGTAAGACGATTTAAATAGAAATTTTTATTTAGAACATGGAAAATTGTTTGGTTTATAATTGAGTGGAGAGAATCTAGAGTTACCGCTATATGATAAGATCTAAGTAAATAGTCACTGATTTAGATGTGGTGAATACCCAATTTAAGATGCTAGTCAGTTATATGTTGAAATTATAAACAGAGTAAGTCTTTTGCAAATTCTATTTCCAAAAGCTTTTCTGATACTTTAATTGATCAATTTATTGATTTTTAACAAAAAGATTCATTTTCAATAAATAAAACCCATTGTATTGATAAGGAGTGATATA